GTTAAATTTAATTTTTTTTGTATCTGGGTGCCAGGTTCAAATTAATTCGCTAAATTCAAAACTTGTTGTCTTGATAACAAAACAAAACTGCTGCTTGGCCTGCTGACTATACAACATTTTGACACAAATGTTTCAAACCCACAGGTGGCTGCCCACAGACATCCTTTTTTTGAATCTCTAAGCATACAAAAAACACATCATCTTTTAAAGGGACCACACACTGCTTTCCCCTCTAGCAATTTACAAACACCAATATTTTTACAAACACCAAATTCTAACATCCTGCCTCCCAGTCCACAAATACTCTACTCAACTTCACAAAACTGATCTGATTAGTAAGTTTTCAGATGACAAGAAAATAGGTGGTGCTGTGAATAGTGGGGAAGGATGTTAAATGCTGCAGTGGGATAGAGATCAGTTAGAAAGTTGGGCAGGGAAATGGCAGATGGAGTTTAATCGGGCCAAGTGTGAAATGATGCATCTTGGGATGTCAAATGCAAGAGGAAAGCAAGTGTTGTGACAATTAGGAACATTGATATACAGAGGGATCTTGGAATATAAGGCCATAGTTCCCTGAAGGTGGCAACACAAGTGGATAAGGTGATAAAGAAAGTGTACAGCATGCACTTTCATCAATTGAGCACTGAGTATAAAAGTTGGCAAGTCATGTTGAAACTGTATAACACTTTGGTCAGACCGCATTTGGAGTCGTGTCACAATTCTGGTCACCAGGCCACAGGAAGGATGTGGAAGCTTTGGAGAGGGTGCAGAAGAGGTTGACCAGGATATTGTCTGAATTGTAGTGTATCAGCTGTAAGGAGAGGTTGAACATACTGGGATTGTTTTTGCTGGAGCTTTGGAGGCAGAAGGATGACCTGATAGAAGTATATAAAATGATGACAGATGTAGATAGGGTTAAGGTGAGAGGGGAAAGTTTAAAGGATATGTGTGAGGAATGCTTTTCGCATAGAGTAGATGCCTGGAAGGCACTGTCAGGGGAGGTGGTAGAAACAGCTTGGATAACAATGTTTAAGAGGCATTGAGACCGACACATGAACTGGCATGGAATAGAGGGATATAGACCGTGCACAGGCAGATAGGATTAGTTTATAATGTGATCATGGTCATCACAGACATGGTGGGCTGAACGGCCTGTGGCTGTGGTGTTCTTCATCATATGTTCTAACTGTTGACAATCCCACACTATCCACTTCCACTACCATGCTAGCTACTAATGCTCCTACAGTAAACTACTGACACTGCTACATTAACTATCGATGCTCTTACGCGAACTGTTTCTATTCCTACATTTGCTACAGATACTACCACACCAATTGCTTATAATCCTGTACTAACTATTAATAGTCTGACAATAACTAATGATTATCTTGCGTTAACTACTGGTACTCCTACATTAACGAATGCAAACAGAAAATATTGAGGAAATGCAGCAGCGTGGCAGCAGCAGAAGAGAGAGAAATAGAGATAACATTGTGGTTGGTTGGCTCGCTGAGCTGGTTCGTTGTTTCGCAGATGTTTCATTACTCTGCTGGGTAACATCATCAGTTCAGCTTCCGATGAAGCGCTGTTGTGTTTTCCCACCTGTTATTTAAACTCTGGGGTCTGTTGAGCTGGATTACCTCACTTCCAGTTTTCCTTCGCAGTGGAGTGTATATGGGGTCGAGCTCTATGTGTTTGTTGATGGCTTTCTTTGTGGAGTACCAGGCTTCTAGGAATTCCTGTGCTTGTCTCTGCTTTGCTTGCTCCAGGATCCTGGTGTTGTCCCAGTCGAATTGGTGGTCCACATGGATAAGGAGAACCACCAATTCGACTGGGACAACACCAGATTCCTGGGGCAAGCAAAGCAGATACAGGCACAGGAATTCCTAGAAGCCTGGTACTCCACGAAGAAAGCCATCAATAAACACATAGAACTTGACCTCATATACACTCCATTGTGAAGGAAAACCGGAAATGACGTAATCCAGCTCAACGGACTCCAGAGTTTAAATAACAGGCAGGAAAACACAACGGCACTTCATCGGAAGTTGCACTGATGATGTTACCCAGCAGGGTAATGAAACGTTTGCGGAACAACAATGAGCCAACCAACCACAACATCCACAACCCGAGCTACAAATCTACTCTAAAAACCTTAGAAACAGAAATAATGTTTCAAGTCCAGTTTGATTCTTCTTCTGAACTTAGACACAATGTTCCAATGAGGGGGCATACCAGACCCAAAAGGTGAACTCTCTCTTTCTCCAATGTTGCTGCTAGACCTGCTGAGTTTCCCCAACACTTTCTTTATTTGTAACATATTTGCATGACATTTATGACTGGTCCTACAAAGATAGGGAGGGGTGTATGGGCTGGATGAGGTTACAGAGATATGACGTGGAGAAGCTTGTGGAGAATAGGAAGACTGTCGCGGCTGGAGGTGGTTACAGAGATGGGGAGGAATGAAGGGGCTAGAGAAGGTGACAGCCTAATGGTATTATCACTAGACTGTTAATCCAAAGACCCAGAAAATGTTCTGGGGACCTGGGTTTAAATCACGCTGTGGGAAATGGTGGAATTTGAATTCAACTAAAGAAAACTGAATTAAGAGCCTAATGATAACCATGAATCCATTGTCAATTGTCAGAAAAACCCATCTGGTTCACTAATGTCCTTTAGGGAAGGAAACTGCCATCCTTACCTTGTCTGGCTTACAAGTGACTTCAGACCCACAGCAATGCGATTGACTCTTAATTGCCTTCTGGGCAATTAGGGATGGGCAATAAATGCTGGCCTAGCCATGAATGCACTCTTCCTGTGAATGAATGAAAAAAAAAGAGATTACAGAGTTGGGTAAGGTTTTAGTGGCTAGAGGAGGTTACAGAGGTAGGGAGGGGTGTAGTGGCTGGAGGGAGTTACAGAGATGAATAGGGGTATAGGAGCTGTAGGAGGTTACAGAAGTAGAGAAAGGTGTAGGTTTGGAGGAGGTTATAGAGGTAGGAAGGGGTATAGGGGCTGGAGGAGGTTATAGAGGAAGGGAGGGGTGTAGGGGCTGGAGGAGGTTGCAGAGATGGATAGGGGTATAGGGGCTGTAGGAGGTTACAGAAGTAGAGAAGGATGTAGGTCTGGAG